GTGTGTGCGCGCCCCCGGGTCTCCGTGTGTGTGTGTGCGCGCCCCCGGGTCTCCGTGTGTGTGTGTGCGCGCCCCCGGGTCTCCGTGTGTGTGTGTGCGCGCCCCCGGGTCTCCGTGTGTGTGTGTGCGCGCCCCCGGGTCTCCGTGTGTGTGTGTGCGCGCCCCCGGGTCTCCGTGTGTGTGTGTGCGCGCCCCCGGGTCTCCGTGTGTGTGTGTGCGCGCCCCCGGGTCTCCGTGTGTGTGTGTGCGCGCCCCCGGGTCTCCGTGTGTGTGTGTGCGCGCCCCCGGGTCTCCGTGTGTGTGTGTGCGCGCCCCCGGGTCTCCGTGTGTGTGTGTGCGCGCCCCCGGGTCTCCGTGTGTGTGTGTGCGCGCCCCCGGGTCTCCGTGTGTGTGTGTGCGCGCCCCCGGGTCTCCGTGTGTGTGTGTGCGCGCCCCCGGGTCTCCGTGTGTGTGTGTGCGCGCCCCCGGGTCTCCGTGTGTGTGTGTGCGCGCCCCCGGGTCTCCGTGTGTGTGTGTGCGCGCCCCCGGGTCTCCGTGTGTGTGTGTGCGCGCCCCCGGGTCTCCGTGTGTGTGTGTGCGCGCCCCCGGGTCTCCGTGTGTGTGTGTGCGCGCCCCCGGGTCTCCGTGTGTGTGTGTGCGCGCCCCCGGGTCTCCGTGTGTGTGTGTGCGCGCCCCCGGGTCTCCGTGTGTGTGTGTGCGCGCCCCCGGGTCTCCGTGTGTGTGTGTGCGCGCCCCCGGGTCTCCGTGTGTGTGTGTGCGCGCCCCCGGGTCTCCGTGTGTGTGTGTGCGCGCCCCCGGGTCTCCGTGTGTGTGTGTGCGCGCCCCCGGGTCTCCGTGTGTGTGTGTGCGCGCCCCCGGGTCTCCGTGTGTGTGTGTGCGCGCCCCCGGGTCTCCGTGTGTGTGTGTGCGCGCCCCCGGGTCTCCGTGTGTGTGTGTGCGCGCCCCCGGGTCTCCGTGTGTGTGTGTGCGCGCCCCCGGGTCTCCGTGTGTGTGTGTGCGCGCCCCCGGGTCTCCGTGTGTGTGTGTGCGCGCCCCCGGGTCTCCGTGTGTGTGTGTGCGCGCCCCCGGGTCTCCGTGTGTGTGTGTGCGCGCCCCCGGGTCTCCGTGTGTGTGTGTGCGCGCCCCCGGGTCTCCGTGTGTGTGTGTGCGCGCCCCCGGGTCTCCGTGTGTGTGTGTGCGCGCCCCCGGGTCTCCGTGTGTGTGTGTGCGCGCCCCCGGGTCTCCGTGTGTGTGTGTGCGCGCCCCCGGGTCTCCGTGTGTGTGTGTGCGCGCCCCCGGGTCTCCGTGTGTGTGTGTGCGCGCCCCCGGGTCTCCGTGTGTGTGTGTGCGCGCCCCCGGGTCTCCGTGTGTGTGTGTGCGCGCCCCCGGGTCTCCGTGTGTGTGTGTGCGCGCCCCCGGGTCTCCGTGTGTGTGTGTGCGCGCCCCCGGGTCTCCGTGTGTGTGTGTGCGCGCCCCCGGGTCTCCGTGTGTGTGTGTGCGCGCCCCCGGGTCTCCGTGTGTGTGTGTGCGCGCCCCCGGGTCTCCGTGTGTGTGTGTGCGCGCCCCCGGGTCTCCGTGTGTGTGTGTGCGCGCCCCCGGGTCTCCGTGTGTGTGTGTGCGCGCCCCCGGGTCTCCGTGTGTGTGTGTGCGCGCCCCCGGGTCTCCGTGTGTGTGTGTGCGCGCCCCCGGGTCTCCGTGTGTGTGTGTGCGCGCCCCCGGGTCTCCGTGTGTGTGTGTGCGCGCCCCCGGGTCTCCGTGTGTGTGTGTGCGCGCCCCCGGGTCTCCGTGTGTGTGTGTGCGCGCCCCCGGGTCTCCGTGTGTGTGTGTGCGCGCCCCCGGGTCTCCGTGTGTGTGTGTGCGCGCCCCCGGGTCTCCGTGTGTGTGTGTGCGCGCCCCCGGGTCTCCGTGTGTGTGTGTGCGCGCCCCCGGGTCTCCGTGTGTGTGTGTGCGCGCCCCCGGGTCTCCGTGTGTGTGTGTGCGCGCCCCCGGGTCTCCGTGTGTGTGTGTGCGCGCCCCCGGGTCTCCGTGTGTGTGTGTGCGCCCCCGGGTCTCCGTGTGTGACCCGGGTCTCCGCGTGTGCCCCGGGTCTCCGCGTGTGCCCCTGTGTTTCCGCGTGTGCCCCTGTGTTTCCGCGTGTGCCCCTGTGTTTCCGTGTGTGTCCTCTGTGCATCACCGTGTCTCCTGTGCACCTTCATGACACCTGTGTCTTCAGTCTCTGGCACGCTCCTGCAGTTGCTGGCACAGTCCATGTCTCGGGGACGGGGCCCCCTGGCCGTGACCACCACATGTTCATTATAACAGACACACGGATGTACGGAGGGGAGCTCTGTACCTTTTATATTTGATTTGTGATTAGCATCACACTGCAGTCTGTAGCATTGGCCTGACCGGCTCCTGAATTCTGCCGCTGTCCTGAGCTGACCATTCACCTAGATCGGGGGCGGGCAACGCCAGCTCTCCAGCTGTGCTTTAACTACAACCCCCATCATCTCTCTCCCTCTGGCAGTCACGTCTGTTACGGTCAGTCTTGCAATGCCTCATGGGGCTTGTAGTTCCACAACAGCTGGAGAGCCGGAGTTGCTCAGCCCCGGCCTACATGTTTCCGAGCAGTATTGATCCCTGACTAGCAGAAGTCATCAGATCGCTGACAGATGACGGAGTCCTCCTCCCCCGAGAGCTGTTACAGTTCAGCCGATCAATCGGAGTGATTATTACACTGGATCGTTGCTTATATTTAGGGCACGGCTTCTGAAATATTGGATGTGTCCCTGGGGGCCGTTCACTGGCCAACCCAACTGTGCCATGGACGTGAAAATCGGCTTTTTCAATGTAAACCATTTATATGCCGAACCAAAGAAGCTCCTGTCACTGAGTCGTGTCATTGCTGGCGCGTTCGCATTGCTGGCGCGTTCGCATTGCTGGCGCGTTCCCATTGCTGGCGCGTTCCCATTTCTGCGTGCACATTATGATATAGATCCTTGGTTCTCAACTGGTGGGTCGCGACCCCGTGTTCAGTGGGTCACCGCATGCCTTCCACGTTTCTAGGCGAGAGGTTCCTCAGCCTCCCCCTAGCGCAGCACTGTCAGTTCTCGCACCGAGCAGCCATTCACAATATGCTGCCCGGCGCCGAGTGTCATCTTGAGGTGGGCTGGGGCTATGGCCGCGTGGGAGCTTCATCCGTACATGCGTTGCTTACAGCTTCCTCGCGTGTCCGGTGGAGGCGCCTGGACCGGAGTGACGTCACATTCTGGCTCCCGGCACCTCTACAAGGTGCGTAAGGGAGCTGTACCAGCAATGCACATATGGATGGAGCTCCGTCACAGTACAGTAGCACACACTGGACCCCAGGCTGAGGATCCACTCCAGTTCTCAAGGTAGGGACACTGAGTGCATTTAAAACATTTTTTTTGGGGGGGGGAGGTGTCTGTGGGTGTGTGTCAGTGTGTTTTTGAGGGCCCGTTCACACTAGTACAGTGCGTTAATCGCACAGTCGCGTGTAATTAACGCACTGTGCCACGCAACTTCATGTACCGATTCTGGTGGGAGAGATGCATTGAATGGCACCCCAAACTCACCTCCCACCCACAGTTCTATTGCCCGCATCGGAAGGGGCGGTACCGCAATGCCATGCGTTCCATTGCAGTGGAGTTTGGGCCATGACTTAAAGTGACATTAAACCCTCAGATTTTTTAACATAAAACAATACTGTAATGTGCGCCTTACTGTAATCCATGGTAGTTTCCCTTCTCTTTGCTGCTCTTCCTTTTAAATCCGTATCTCTTCTCATGCTCGGGGAGAACTTCCCTTTGCAGCTGAGTGCCTCTTCCTGTAGTGCTGGCTCAGGTTGTGAACCTGCACACAGACACCATGTATCCATTCCTGAGACAAGGCAGTCTGCTGCAAAACAGAAGTTCTCCCCCAGCATGAGAAGAGATACAGATTTAAAAGGAAGAGCAGCAAAGAGAAGGGAAACTACCATGGATTACAGTAAGGCGCACATTACAGTATTGTTTTATGTTAAAAAATCTGAGGGTTTAATGTCACTTTAATGACCAGGACGAATGTGGGTCCTGAGGTTACACAGGTTGAGAACCATTGATATAGATAATTTGCAGCACAGGAACACATGGGGGGTGGGGGGGTGCATTGGGGGGCATTGCCTTAGATTTTCAATGCCCCCCCCAATGTTTATACACAGATCAGAGAAACACAACCGCCCCCCACACACGGCAAATCATATCCTGAACAACGCGCGTTACCTTGCAGTGGACACACACATCGAGGGCTCATTGAATACGAATAGGCGTCATGGATGCAACACGAGGTCAATGCGTGAATAGATCTCTATGCAGATCATGGCCGGTGGGAGGGAAGCAAGCAGTGGGCCGGCTCTAGGGAGGAGTTATGCAAATATCAAATTGCTTTGGTCGGTGTGGAGGAGTGGGCGGTCCTAGGTTAGGTTGTGTTTGCATGCAGAGCACCCTGGGTAGGCAGTCTGAAGATTTGGGGTTTAGGAGACCCCTGATGTCGCCATAAAGAGGACCTGTCATGTAAATTGGGGGGCTTTTTCGGTGTGGTTGTTTTTTGCGGGTGAGCGCAATTTAAAGGCTTGGCATGTTTGGTGTCTATTTACCCGACGTAACCCCCGTCTTTTATATTTTACTAACAAATTGGGGTGATAATAAATATTTCATTACATTTCATAGGGAAACAGGGTTTTTTTCAAAATGTACGGTATTTTTTCATTATATAGTAAAAAATAGCCGCCCCCCCTCCAGTGGTGATTAAATATCACCAAAATAAAGCTCTATGTGTCCCCAAAAAATGGTATAAAATTCATGTCAGTACAGCGCTGCATGACGGAATAAATGTCTGTCAAATAACTCAGCGGTGAAGAATGGCCCGGAGAGGAAGGGGGTGTAACACACCGGTCTTCAAGAGGTTAAATGTCCTATTCACAGCCCCCCCGTGTCCTCTCTCTGCTGCCCCCCGATAACTTGTCTCTTCTCTCTCATTGACAGAGCTCTGGAAACTGGGATAACTTGTGGCCTGACAACTCTTCTCCTCTCCCCGAGATGTCCAACCATTTACAATGAACAGCAAGGATTGCGCCGAGCTCTCAGGTGAGACCGCAGCGCCTCTGCACTCGGGGTGTACGGGCGAGAGGACGATTTACCTTCGGGTTGTGTAAATAAACAGACAGAAGATATATTTGCATTTTGCTGTTCCTGAGAGCCAAAGATAACTAGACGAATGTTCCCATTAAAGGGGCCCCGACCTGGAAATACTTCCCCTGCTAAGCTGTGCTGAAAGAGCTGCTTCTATAGGCCGATACCCCGGAGCTCCGTGTGTTGGCTCAGCTGAGGGGCCACTACGATGTACGCTCCATAATACAGATCTGTAATTATACTGTTCCCACTGCCAGTGACCCGGCTTGCTGTGGTTCCACTACCTAAAACCCGTCCTTGGATGCCCCCCACATTTTAATTCATTTTTTTCAGTTGTCATTCACATGACAGACATGGTCCTCCCTCCTTTTTTGTTCACTGCAGCGGTCTCCTCCATCTTTACAGGGAGCTGCAGGAACCACCTCTCCCAGTCAGCACTAGATAGCTGTAGGGACCTCTTCTCCGATTATCACTAGAGGGAGCTGCAGGGACCTCCTCTCCCAGTCACCACTAGAGGGAGCTGCAGGGACCTCCTCTCCCAGTCACCACTAGAGGGAGCTGCAGGGACCCCCCTCTCCGATTATCGCTAGAGGAAGCTGTAGGGACCTCTTCTCCCACCATCACTAGAGAGCTGTAGGGACCTCTTCTCCCACCATCACTAGAGAGCTGTAGGGACCTCTTCTCCGAATATCACTAGAGGGAGCTGCAGGGAAGGCACACTGACTGATCATCTTTATTTCTCCCTGGCAGAAAACGGCCACCACATCAAGGTTTTTCTACCCAAGAAGCTGCTGGAGTGTTTACCCAAGTGTACTACTTTACCGAAGGAGAGGCTGCGCTGGAACACTAATGAGGTACGGAGCTTCCACTGCGACCAGTCACTACAAGGAGAACTCTGTAGTCCACCCAATAGGGCTGTACACTCCCTACACATGGTTATTCATAATAACGGGTCTGTCCACCCAAAACAGTAATTGTCAGGGACTCGTTTGGTGAGATCACTGTGCTGAGTTCCCGGGTCTGTACACCCGCTGTGCCCATTTATGAGGAGCTCCCACCATCCCTGTGCTGAGTTCCCGGATCTGTACACCCGCTGTGCCCATTTATGAGGAGTTCCCACCATCCCTGTGCTGAGTTCCCGGGTCTGTACACCCGCTGTGCCCATTATGAGGGGCTCCCGCCATCCCTGTGCTGAGTTCCCGGGTCTGTACACCTGCTGTGCCCATTATGAGGGGCTCCCACCATCCCTGTGCTGAGTTCCCGGGTCTGTACACCCGCTGTGCCCATTATGAGGAGCTCCCACCATCCCTGTGCTGAGTTCCCGGGTCTATACACCCGCTGTGCCCATTATGAGGAGCTCCCACCATCCCTTTGCTGGATTTTATATTTCCTTTATCTTTTGGAGAACGTAACAGGAAGAGCTGGAACAGATAAAGGTGGGTGGGGACCCAACTCCCAGGTGGACAGGATCAGAGCCGGGAAATATGGCAGAGATCTCACTGTTGGAGTATCCAAGACACATAAGATGTTGGGGGCTGACTCGGCCCACCCAGCTACATCTATCTAAAGCACCACTTTCAGGGTGGAGTGACCCTTTTAAAGGGAGAAATACATAGGCTCTTATTGCTTCCCTAACATCCAGAGGTCTGCAGTATAAGTTTCCATGTTTCTCTCATGACAGGTCCCCTTTATTACAGTCCTGTGTGACAATACACCTTTGTCTTCTCTGTATCATTGTGACATGTGACTCCTCCTCCGTCTCACTTTACTTACAGCTATTTCTGTGTGTTTTCCGCAGGAGATCGCCTCTTACCTTATTACCTTTGAGAAACATGACGAATGGCTTTCTTGTGCCCCCAAAACCAGGTACGGTGACCCCCAATTTATCCTTCTCCTCAGTGCCTGCGTGACATTGCTGAGTGGCCCTTTAAAAGATAACTAAAAGTTTGTATTTTTTTGTCCTTCAAAGTGGAGCTCTCTGTTTTATTGAACCCCCTCCTCCCTGTATATGTCCCCAAGGTCGGGGCCAGGCACCAGGCACTTGCCCGAGATCAGCACTGTCACTACGCATGGAGGGGGAGGGGGACATGTCAGCTTGGGGTTCGGCACCAGGCACTTGCCCGAGACTAGCACTGTCACTACGCATGGAGGGGGGCATTTCAGCTTGGGGTTCGGCCCCAGGCACTTGCCCGAGACTAGCACTGTCACTACGCATGGAGGGGGGCATTTCAGCTTGGGGTTCGGCCCCAGGCACTTGCCCGAGACTAGCACTGTCACTACGCATGGAGGGGGGCATTTCAGCTTGGGGTTCGGCCCCAGGCACTTGCCCGAGACTAGCACTGTCACTACGCATGGAGGGGGGCATTTCAGCTTGGGGTTCGGCCCCAGGCACTTGCCCGAGACTAGCACTGTCACTACGCATGGAGGGGGGCATTTCAGCTTGGGGTTCGGCCCCAGGCACTTGCCCGAGACTAGCACTGTCACTACGCATGGAGGGGGGCATTTCAGCTTGGGGTTCGGCCCCAGGCACTTGCCCGAGACTAGCACTGTCACTACGCATGGAGGGGGGCATTTCAGCTTGGGGTTCGGCCCCAGGCACTTGCCCGAGACTAGCACTGTCACTACGCATGGAGGGGGGCATTTCAGCTTGGGGTTCGGCCCCAGGCACTTGCCCGAGACTAGCACTGTCACTACGCATGGAGGGGGGCATTTCAGCTTGGGGTTCGGCCCCAGGCACTTGCCCGAGACTAGCACTGTCACTACGCATGGAGGGGGGCATTTCAGCTTGGGGTTCGGCCCCAGGCACTTGCCCGAGACTAGCACTGTCACTACGCATGGAGGGGGGCATTTCAGCTTGGGGTTCGGCCCCAGGCACTTGCCCGAGACTAGCACTGTCACTACGCATGGAGGGGGGCATTTCAGCTTGGGGTTCGGCCCCAGGCACTTGCCCGAGACTAGCACTGTCACTACGCATGGAGGGGGGCATTTCAGCTTGGGGTTCGGCCCCAGGCACTTGCCCGAGACTAGCACTGTCACTACGCATGGAGGGGGGCATTTCAGCTTGGGGTTCGGCCCCAGGCACTTGCCCGAGACTAGCACTGTCACTACGCATGGAGGGGGGCATTTCAGCTTGGGGTTCGGCCCCAGGCACTTGCCCGAGACTAGCACTGTCACTACGCATGGAGGGGGGCATGTCAGCTTGGGGTTCGGCACCAGGCACTTGCCCGAGACCAGCACTGTCACTATGCATGGAGGTGGAGGGGGACATGTCAGCTTGGGGTTCGGCACCAGGCACTTGCCCGAGACCAGCACTGTCACTATGCATGGAGGGGGAGGGGGGCATGTCAGCTTGGGGTTCGGCACCAGGCACTTGCCCGAGACCAGCACTGTCACTATGCATGGAGGGGGACATGTCAGCTTGGGGTTCGGCACCAGGCACTTGCCCGAGACCAGCACTGTCGCTGTGCATGGAGGGGGGCATGTCAGCTTGGGGTCTGGCACAAGTCACTTGCCCGAGATGAGCACTGTCACTATGCATGCAGGGGGAGGGGGGCATGCATAGTCCGGCACCAGGCACTTACCTGAGGCAAGCACTGTCACTACGCATGCAGGGGGAGGGGGGCATGTCATCTTGGGGTCTGGCACCAGGCACTTGCCCGAGACTAGCACTGTCACTATGCATGGAGGTGGAGGGGGACATGTCAGCTTGGGGTTCGGGACCAGGCACTTGCCCGAGACCAGCACTGTCACTATGCATGGAGGGGGAGGGGGGCATGTCAGCTTGGGGTTCGGCGCCAGGCACTTGCCCGAGACCAGCACTGTCGCTGTGCAAGGAGGGGGGCATGTCAGCTTGGGGTTCGGCGCCAGGCACTTGCCCGAGACCAGCACTGTCGCTGTGCAAGGAGGGGGGCATGTCAGCTTGGGGTTCGGCGCCAGGCACTTGCCCGAGACCAGCACTGTCGCTGTGCAAGGAGGGGGGCATGTCAGCTTGGGGTTCGGCGCCAGGCACTTGCCCGAGACTAGCACTTTCACTACGCATGGAGGGGGAGGGGGGCATGTCAGCTTGGTGTTCGGCACCAGGCACTTGCCCGAGACCAGCACTGTCGCTGTGCAAGGAGGGGGGCATGTCAGCTTGGGGTTCGGCACCAGGCACTTGCCCGAGACCAGCACTGTCGCTGTGCAAGGAGGGGGGCATGTCAGCTTGGGGTTCGGCACCAGGCACTTGCCCGAGACCAGCACTGTCGCTGTGCAAGGAGGGGGGCATGTCAGCTTGGGGTTCGGCACCAGGCACTTGCCCGAGACCAGCACTGTCGCTGTGCAAGGAGGGGGGCATGTCAGCTTGGGGTTCGGCACCAGGCACTTGCCCGAGACCAGCACTGTCGCTGTGCAAGGAGGGGGGCATGTCAGCTTGGGGTTCGGCACCAGGCACTTGCCCGAGACCAGCACTGTCGCTGTGCAAGGAGGGGGGCATGTCAGCTTGGGGTTCGGCACCAGGCACTTGCCCGAGACCAGCACTGTCGCTGTGCAAGGAGGGGGGCATGTCAGCTTGGGGTTCGGCACCAGGCACTTGCCCGAGACCAGCACTGTCGCTGTGCAAGGAGGGGGGCATGTCAGCTTGGGGTTCGGCACCAGGCACTTGCCCGAGACCAGCACTGTCGCTGTGCAAGGAGGGGGGCATGTCAGCTTGGGGTTCGGCACCAGGCACTTGCCCGAGACCAGCACTGTCGCTGTGCAAGGAGGGGGGCATGTCAGCTTGGGGTTCGGCACCAGGCACTTGCCCGAGACCAGCACTGTCACTACGCATGGAGGGGGGCATGTCAGCTTGGGGTTCGGCACCAGGCACTTCCCTGAGACCAGCACTGTCACTACGCATGGAGGGGGAGGGGGGCATGTCAGCTTGGGGAAGTTCCATGTATT